CACACACACACAAAGACACACAAGATTGCGGCTGGAGTAGGTAAAACAGTGTGTGCTTTGGAGAGTTTTCTAAAATTATCAGGAGAAACATCTCTCCTGCACATGTGTCTGTGCTCATGTGTTGAAGTGTTTGCTTTGCAGGAATATTGGCCTTATGATGAATATTGGCTGGAATCACACCAGACTTTCTCTACTCTCTCCGTCCTATCACTCTAGTTTCCTTATTTTCTCTCTTTGATTTGTTGCTGGCCTAGTTGATACAGCAATCAGATAAAAGCAAAGAAAACAGCCTCCTCTCTCTCTCTCTCTCTTCATCTGCTCTCTCCTTTACATTTCTCAGGCAAATGCTAAATAGCCGTGCTGTGCTGCTTTACAGAGCTCACAAAGAAGAACAGAACAATATCAAGCATTATTCTGCCCCCTCTTTTGTCGCCATGAATCCATTCTGAAGTGTCTATTAAAGGAGTCGTGGCCTTTTTGTCGCCTCTGTGCCAGACTACACAAGAGGGGGGGAGAAAAAAGAGGGAGAGAGGGAAAAAAGGAAAAAGAGCAATGCATAATCTCCAATGTATGACAGATAAAGGGAGTGAATATCGCCATCTTTCCGCTCTGCTCTCCACATCTCCTAATCGCTTTTCCGACGTTTCAATCTGCCAAGGCCCTAATGAAAATATGATGAGGCGGATCTATGGTCCTCAGGGACGGATGGAGGGATGGGAGAGGAGGGGAGGTGAGGGGAGGGATGGAACGAGGGATGGCTGCAGAGGGAGGATGAAGGGAGAGAAAATACACTCTGTCCTTATTTCTGGGCTCCGTCGGGGATACATAGTTCTTGGAGCTTTCTATTTAGATGTTGCTGCTGCCGGAGTGTGTCTCTCTCTTCTTTTTCATTCTCTCTCTTTATCTCTGCCATCCTCATTTTCCTTCTGTATGTGTGTGTCACCAGGATAAATGTGTTTATTTTTTTGTTTATATCCTCTTTTTCTCATTTGAACTCCCACAGGCTGACTCCCGCCTTCTGCCTTCCAAGAAATATGTAACTTCTTCTTAATCATTCTAATGCTCCCTGTTTTACCCCCACTTTTTTTTCTGTCTGTGCTCGCCTGTCTCTTTTGTAAATCCTGCAGCTGTGTAAAAAAAGTGTATTTGTGTTTTCTTGCTGCACAGGATTCAAAGGCTTTAAAAAAAAAAATCCCTTTGTCTGTTTCCTTCTCTGTCAGATGGCGACGATGACCCAGCAGGGCTGTCCTGGGTGCCTTCCTCGCCCTCCAGTAAAGATGTGGCATCGCCCTCACAGATGCCCGATGGCTGCTGTGACCTCGGCATGGCCACCGGCGGCGAGGAGGAAGGAGGCGCTGGTCTGCCGTACCCCTGCCAGTTCTGTGACAAGTCCTTCAGGTATTAAAACTCACACGTTTGGTTCCCCTGGAATGCTACAGGTGATATCTCAGTGCCCTGACACACACAACACAGCAACAGACAATAAGACTAATGTCATATTTGGTGGTTTAGTTGCATCCTCATATCATGAATATCAATGTGTACATGAGTAAACAGTATCCTCAATATTACCATGGTAACATGGACCACTAAGGCAAACAGCGAGAGGAATGAGGTGAATACATTTCTCGCTAACCTCTCCAGGGACTAACTCAAGACCCACTTTAAGAACAGCTGTCATATACACCATGAAGTCATCATCAAAATCCTGATGAAAAAAGAAATGATATCTTTTACTTAGCTAGTTCTCTCTGGTTCCTCCCTTATTGCTGAGTAGATGTATGCAGTCATATTAAAAATAGTTTAGATTTTAGTTTAAAGGTACCCAAGCAGTAAAAACCAGCAGTCACTATAATCTTAAATGATTTCACTATATTTACTGCTTAAATGTATGTTTAGTATGGCTGTTTTATTTTGTTAAGCTCTGAAAAATGCCATTCAAATTACTCTAACTGAGCCTTTGAGAATGACTTTTCATCGTCCATCTCCTCCTGATCCTCCTCAGCCGTCTGAGCTACCTGAAGCGCCATGAGCAGATCCACAGCGACAAGCTGCCTTTCAAGTGTACCTTCTGCAGCCGCCTGTTTAAACACAAGAGGAGCAGAGACCGCCACGTCAAACTCCACACAGGTAGATAATACAATACATCCTGGATTTATGTCTTCCAGGCCTGCTAAGTATGCATTGGCATATTATGACCTGATGGGTAGCAGATCCACAATGATTGTATAAACCTGCAATTTTTCGTTATTCAAGAAGTAAATGAGGGAAAACACCAGAATCAGACTTGAGTTAGGAGATTTACCCTCAGCAGTGGCAACACGTGTTCTGGCTGTCAGTGTTTTGAGGTTTCTTTATGAAGAAATGATCTCTCATAAATCTATTAATTGATACAGGAGATAAGAAGTATAGTTGTCAGGAGTGTGAAGCTGCATTCTCCCGCTCTGATCACCTGAAGATCCATCTGAAAACACACAGGTAACTGCTTCTGAGCCTATTGTCGTGAAATCTGTACTCGATGTTAATTGACATGTTCATCCGGTGTTTCATTTATCTCATCTGATTTAGATCTTTAAAAACAATTGATTAACAGGATTCTGATTCATTGTTTTATTCACACCTCCAGCTCCAGCAAACCGTTTAAGTGCAGTGTGTGTAAGCGTGGCTTCTCCTCCACCTCATCACTGCAGAGCCACATGCAGGTAAACATGTGTTTTCATTTTAAAAGAAGGAGGTCCTAGCTCATCGTCATCTTATTTTGTTTTACAACACATGCTTCTTTAAATCCTGACCACTTTCTGACTCTGGCAGGCTCACCGCAAGAACCGAGAGCACCTTGCACTGAGGAGTGAGAGGGATGGGGGAAAGAAGGGAGTTGGAGGAGACGGTGACCTGGAGCAGGACCTGTATATGTGTGATTACTGCGAGGAGACGTTCAGCCACACGGACGAGCTAGAGAAACATGTCCTGACCAGACACCCGCAGCTGTCTGACCGAGCCGACTTGCAATGCATCCACTGTCCTGAGATCTTTCTAGACGAGGCCTCTCTCCTCACGCATATTGAAACTCAGCATGCCAACCGCAAGCACAAGTACTGCAGAGCTTTACATTTGCAAGCCACTGATCTTCATTAATGTGGAATGCTGGAATGCAACTTGCATTTTACTGGTCTTTTTCTCTTTTCTCCCCAGATGTCCTGTGTGCTCAGAACAGTTCCCATCAGTGGAGGATGTCTACTGCCACCTAGACAGCCATCGCCAGCCTGACTCCTCCAATCACAGCGCCGCCAGTCCTGACCCTGCGCTGGGCAGTGTGGCCTCAATGAGCTCGGCTACTCCCGACTCTAGCGCCAGCCTGGAGAGAGGCTCCACGCCGGACTCTACTCTAAAGCCCAGCCAGGGCATCGAACGAGGCCGCAGAAGGGGCACCGACACTGTGGAAGAGATTGCGATCAGCCTGGGTCATCAAGGCGGAGGTATGGAGTAGTCGCTTATCTAGAGTATGAGTAGAGTATGAGTCCAGTAACATCACTTGATCTGATAGCCAACACTTGGTTTGAAAGCTTAATGTCACAGTGTGTGTGTCTACCTCTACAGGTGGTGGAGGGAACTGGGGCAAAGTGACATACTCTTGCCCTTACTGCTCGAAGAGAGACTTCCACAGCCTGGCGGTGTTGGAGATCCACTTAAAGACCATCCATGCGGATAAGCCGCAGCAGAACCATACATGTCATCTCTGCCTGGACACTCTGCCAACGCTCTACAACCTCAACGAACATGTGCGCAAAGCTCACCGTGGCAGTGGAGGAACCATAGGCGCAGCAGCAGCTTTCCCCCTGCTGCAGTTCACTAATGTTACAGCATTCCACTGTAACTACTGCCCAGACATGTTTGGAGACATCAACTCTCTGCAAGAACACATCAGAGTGTCACACTGCCTTCCTGGCGGGATTGTGGCGGGGTCCACCACATTAGGTGTGTTGTTGAAGAAAGCTACCCTTCCCAGGGTTTCTTTTGTGTTTGTATTGTGTATCATCACAGTAATTTATTCTACTTCATTTCTCCATCCTAGAAGGGAACCATGCCTTCTTCTGCAACCAGTGCTCCATGGGATTCTTGACGGAGTCTTCGTTGACAGAACACATTCAGCAGACGCACTGCACCTCCGCCGGAGGGGGCTCGGCTGCATCTGGAGGAGGGGTGGCCAAACTGGAGTCTCCTGTACTACAGGCTGCATCTCAGTCCTTCATGGAGGTGAGGATCAAGAATTAGTCAATGACAGCCTTTTAATCAGAGCTGATAAGAACTGGATGTAGCTTGTCTGTCTTTGCACGTGTCAAAGCTGTTATTAATCAGTGGTTGAGCTGATGAGCAGCAAGCTGGTTCCTATTAAATTTGATTTCCTGTACTTTGTCATGAGCCCAATGGGGCGTTAAATAAAGCATATTGCTTAATTCTGATTAAGATCCTTGACAATTGTACATATTATGTAGTTACTGCAGGTGACTGTTGGTCTGGTCTGGAGTTTAATCAAACAAAATTTTGTATTTCTTAGTTTTCAGGTGCTGGGCAACAAATACATCAAAAAGGCAATTGTCCACCCACTGCTTTCTTGTTCCCATACATTATTTCCTGAGTACATTACTGACAAAATTGTGACCTCAGATTATTTTAATATAATAATATTATACAAGGGCTTTAAAAGACACTTTGTAATGTTTTCAATCTCCTAATAATTAATTCATAATCAATTTATTATGTCTGAACTGAAAGTTATGGTGCTGACTTTAGTTTATGACCTATGCTTGTGTCTGTCTCTCTCTACATCTCTCCTTCTGTCCTATCTCCAATAGCTAAATAACAGTATTTGTTGATGTACAATGATCTTTAAAAAAAGTAAAGAGTTATTGTCCATGTACAGGTTTACTCCTGCCCTTACTGCACCAATTCTCCTATCTTCGGCTCACTCCTCAAGCTCACCAAGCACATAAAGGAGAACCACAAGAACATCCCGTTGGCCAACAACAAACGGCAGGCAAAGGTTGCCGACCTAAGCCCCGCCTCCTCTGATGTAGAGATCTCCTCCCCGAAACGCCACAGACTGGGAGGGGAATCCACCCCTTCCATGGGGAGCAATGGGGACTACCCGTGCAACCAGTGTGACCTGCGATTCGCCAGCTTTGAGGGTTTCCAGACCCACCTAAAGTCACATCTGGAGATGCTGCTGAGGCGCCAGTCCTGCCCCCAGTGCAACAAGGAGGACTTTGAATCCCAGGAGGCATTGCTTCAACACCTGACAGTGCACTACACCACCACGTCCACCCAGTATGTGTGTGAGAGCTGCGATAAGCAGTTCTCCTCGGTAGATGATCTGCAGAAACACCTGCTGGACATGCACACATTTGTCCTGTACCACTGCACTCTCTGCCAGGAGGTCTTTGACTCCAAGGTCTCCATACAGGTGAATGAGACTTTGTTTGGGTGTTTTTTAATTTTTACAAAGAATACATTAGTGAAACAACCATAGTATGAACCCTCTTGGATTGCTTCTTCCTTTTAACTTTCTTTTTCCATTCAGGTGCATTTGGCGGTGAAGCATAGCAATGAGAAGAAGCTGTTTCGCTGCACAGCCTGTGCCTGGGACTTCAGGAAGGAGACGGATCTTCAGCTCCATGTTAAGCATAACCACCTGGGCCAGAGGTCAGGCCTCCCAGGAGGGCTCGGAGCAGGTACAGCACATGTTTCCTGGGTTTATGAGGGTTTAATTAGAGACCCAAAGTAGACCCAAGATCTCAAAGAAATGTATAATGATCATGGTGTTGATAGTAAAATAGAAAAGAATATAATAAAGAACAAAGACAACCAACGAAAAAACAGAAATACAGACTAGAAAATAAAGATTGGAGTAGGAACAGTACTTTGGTCTCCCGTTAGTAGGTTTGCTAGAGCTTGAATCTTCACATCTCAACCTGTCTTCTGTCTCTCAGGACTCAAGCCCCGGAAGTGCATCTTCTGTGGAGAGACGTTTGGAACAGAGGTGGAGCTCCAGTGCCACATCACCACGCACAGCAAGAAGTTCACATGTCGCTTCTGCGGCAAAGCTTTCCACGCCATCTCACTGCTGGAGAGACACCTGAGGGAGAAGCACTGCGTGTTCGATGGCGGCAACATCACTGGCAACGGAGGGGGTACAGGGAGCAGCGGGAGTCAGAACGGGACGCCCAATGGGCTCGGGCAGTCCTCCAAGCGAGGAGGAGGAGGAAGTGGTGGCAACGGAGGTGCAGGAGTCGTCGAAAGAGCAACTGTGGCGGCTGCTGAACAGGCCGACCTGCAGAACATGTTGTTGAAGAGCGGGGGAGGAGCCGGCCAGGGAGGAGACACTGCCAACAGCCATGAGGCTAGTGGGGGTGAGGAGGAGCTGGACAACTCGGAGCCCATGTATGCCTGTGATATCTGCGGAGCGGCCTACACCATGGAGTCGCTTCTGCAGAACCACCGGCTGCGTGACCACAACATCCGACCGGGAGAAGACGACGCCTGTAAGATTAATTTTAATTCATGAACTGCTTGTTTTGAAGGTTTTTTTTAAATTTTAATATTTATTATATGTTATATAATTATATATTTGAAGTCAGTGGCTTATCATAATGTAATTTCCTAAAGGAGTCCAGTTAAAATGTAGTTGTAATTATAGTCGGAACAATATATTTTTTTGCTTTTTCATATTTGTAATGTGAAGCAATGGATTGTGCCCAAGACAAATTTCCCCTCAGGGACAAAGTTTACTCTGCTCTATCTATGATGATGAAAGTACTTTTATATACCAGGTTCTCGAAAGAAGAAGGCAGACTTCATCAAGGGGAACCACAAGTGCAATGTGTGCTCCAGAACATTCTTCTCTGAGAATGGACTTCGTGAGCACGCTCAGACGCATCGCGGCCCTGCCAAACACTACATGTGTCCCATATGTGGCGAGCGTTTCCCCTCTCTGCTAACCCTCACTGAACACAAGGTACCGTTACATTTACTGCCTTCCAGCCTGTGTTTATATACAGACGGGTGGCGAATTAAAGGAAAATGAATGAACGAGTGGAGAAACATGAAAACTGCGGATGCTTTCATACAGGAAACGAGAGGTCATTGAATCGTTTGATGAGAATAAAACTGATGTGAATCAACTGAACACCTATGGGAGAATGGAGATCCAGATGCCAGGAGATTTGTGTTGCTTTTTCCTTTAAATTGCCACCCATCTGTGTATATGTGTGTACATGTGTCTCTTTTGAGGTATCTATGTCATTTGGAGGTTTATATGTAAGGAACAAACACAGTCAGTGGATACCCTCACAGGTATAACAACACAGCCGTCTGTGCAGATGCATGTTTTACTTTTCTCTTGTGTTACTTTCTGTCTGTGTACCTGCCTTTTGATCCTGAAACTTCTTTATCTGCTTTGAATTTAGACTTAAGAAAATGTTAAATTGTCCTTGGAGAGGCAATTTGTGCTGCAACACACTGCAGTAAAAATGTTTGCAATTACAGTCAGATATTCTAACATGAATATTTTTAGATGTTCATATTTATATTAAAGACTGTGATATATCTGGTCCTTTTATTTAGACCTTTTGATTCTTTTTTATTTTTTACGATTTAATTAATTATAAAGGGTGTTCATGCACAACCATATTGATTATGATGAATAATTTTGTTAGACCGTCATTGACCTTGGTGTTGGTAGATGAACTGAACCTGCAACGCTACAGTTAAAGTTTAACAACACTGAAAGAACTGCATCTTGTTTTCAAAAATTTCAAAAAGAACGGAGAACGGTGAAAACATACTGCACATGCACTAGTTGCACTGTATTTTTACCAGAGATTGTGTATATGCCTCTATCCTGTGATAAAAGCCTGGTAGTATTGCTGTGTCATTATGCTCATGCTGTCTCTGTATGTTCCCTCTCTGCAGGTGACCCATAGTAAGAGCTTGGACACAGGAACTTGTCGAATCTGTAAGATGCCTCTTCAGAGCGAGGAGGAGTTCATAGAGCATTGCCAGATGCACCCTGACCTCCGCAACTCCCTCACCGGCTTCCGCTGCGTCGTCTGCATGCAGACCGTCACCTCCACCCTGGAGCTGAAGATCCACGGCACCTTCCACATGCAGAAGCTTTCCACCGGTTCTGGACTTGGAGGAGCTGGAGTGGGAGGTGGGAATGGAGTAGGAGGAGGAGGGAACGGCTCAGCCTCTTCATCCCCTAACGGGCAGCTGCAGCAGCATAAGCTGTATAAATGCGCCTTCTGCCTAAAGGAGTTCAAGAACAAAGGGGAGCTGGTGAAGCTGGATGTCAACGGCCTGCCTTATGGACTCTGTGCTGGCTGCATGAACAGGTTGGTAGCCGTCCTTTAAACCCTGTGGATAAGGGTGTGTGCTAATATAGACATACTTTAAACAGTAGCACATCGGTATACTACAGAAGTTTAGTAGTACTCTGATAACTTAAAGAACCCCTCCAGACAAATTGTCTACCTAAGGAAAAAAGTAAAGGTATATTTTAGACACCAACTTTGAAACATTTTAGGGAAGAGCGTCTCTTGATATGTGACGTGAGCACAGTGATTTTAGCCATCCATCCAATCCTGCATCCACCAGAAGGTGAACACACATTTTCAAAATCAACCTTTGTGTCTTTAACATACAGTATAGCAACACAGATTGACATGAAAACACTTTTTTATTATTTTTGTTTAGCAACAGTTTTGAAATCAACTAAAACAAATCAACTGCTCAATCAAATCAGGGGCACGAACGGCCAGAGCCCCAGCCAGGGAGGAGCTGTCACGCCAGGGGACACGCAGGGAGAGAAGGCCATGGTCGGGCTGAGGTGTCCAGAGTGCGGGGTGAAGTTCGAGAGCCTTGAGGACTTGGAGAGTCATGTCCAAACAGATCACCCCGAGGTCAGCCCTGAAACCAGTGCAGCAGGAAAGAAGGCAGAGGCTTCACCTGCACCTAAGGTGAGACAGAATAGGCTGAGATAAGATGGAGAGATAACTGCTTTTAAGAACTGGTTCTGGTTTCTACAACTTCTCAAACAAAGTTGTCTGCATTGTTTTTTTTTTACTAATGTGAAGAAGTTTGGTGTTATGGCCAGTGCTGTCTCTGAAATTCATGTTAATAAGAAAAACAGCATTTAACAGATGGAGACATTTTCAGGAGTGCAGAACTCAAAAATCCTGCTGAACTGTACGTTTGCATGAGTCGTGTGTGTGTGTGTGTGTGTGTGTGTGTGTGTGTGTGTGTGTTGGTGCGTGCTG